TTAAGAAACCTGAAATGCAAATGTCATATATATCATTATATGCTGTGAGGGAACTAATCTGGTTTAATTTTAAGGCTTTTCAATCAGAAGGGTTCAGTAACAGAGTGTAACAGAAAATGTTGCTAGGTGTGCTCACTTCTATTCATAGCCCTTTTCAACACACTCTGAAGTTGGACAAAATCCACTGGGTTTTATTTACCAGCAAACCTTCATGGCAGATAAAGCAACCACTGCAAGGAACCTGAAATTCTTCTTCGCTAATGAGCATTGCTAGATTATTGTGTGACAGGAAGAATATGTCCAGGGAATACCTTGCTGAACATTTAATCCTCCCTGGAATATGCTTTTGTGAGGTAAGTCATAATAAATATAATGTGCCAATTGTCTAACCTATTGGGAAAGAGCAGGCACATGAACAGCTTGGTGCAAATATGGGAGAACCTGCTGACAGGCATAGATGTGGTTTAAATGCCATTTACAATGACAGCACTATAGGTAAAGGCCAGGCATCACTTGTGTAATATCTGGAAAGTGTCTTCCCTGCTGTTGACAGGAGGGACTGACAATGGATAGTCTTTTCTTACAATGTCTGAAACAAAAATTCAGGAATTACTGAAGTGGCCAGCAGAAAAATGCAGGAAAGAAAAAGAGCTTCAAACAGGTAATTAATAGGAATTCAAAATGACTGATACTATCTGAGGAATGCGAAATACACCTTTGTAATATGAAATTTCAAGCTTTAAGCATGCCATCAATGAAGGGCATGAAGTGACACATATTTTAAAGTTCTAGAGACTACCTGGTTTATTCTTCCAACTAGAAATTTCTAATTTATTGATTAGGAGAGTTAACTATTTCGAGAGTTAATCGGTTTTTCTTTGAAAGGTGTTAAGAACATGATTCATCTTTTCATTTTGCTGAGCACCCAACCGGAATGTCCTTCCCTTCTCCCATTTGGATAGTCATTATTGAACACAGCTTCCCTATCTGTTCCCAAACTTCTAAAAAAAGCTATCAAAGCTCTCCCTATCAGCTATGCATATAAGAAAAAAGCTCCAATGCTTTCCAAGAGGAGAAAGATATGTTGTTGAGTGGTAAATGAGGATATTTGGAATACATCTGTGGACGCACACTTTGTCATTCCCTACTCAGAGCATCTCCAGCTCAGAAGAATGAATTCTCTCACACAGCAGCAGCTGTTACTGTTTGGATTGTAAATAGTCATAAGCCATATGGTGTGGCAGGACAAAAAAACTTCACACTTTCTCACATGGACAAATATTATTATTGCAAATCATAATCACATCAATATATGTCTTTTCTCTGTATAGTCATCACCTTGATACTAAAAAAATTATTGCCTTCCAGATGAGCAGATTACCTGCTAACATTTGGTTTAGATTTTTAGAATTTGGATGTCTCAACAGAAAATAAATGTGGGTGTGCAGTAGATACAGCACTTTCAGATTGATAGATGAAGTGACAGACACAAAATACAAACTGAGCTAGTGAAATGGGAGAGATGATTAGGAAGGAAAAAAAAGTCTATATGTAATTACTATGGAAGAATATATTGCTATCTACTAACTAACTACACAAAACCAGCTTGACTGTGGCTTATCATGCAAATGGATGAGGAGTTTCTTCATGCATGTGAATTTAAACTTTCTACCTGGTTAGTGGTGCATAAAGAGTTTCAGATGTTGGTGGATTATATCCAGACAGGAACAGGCCTCTCAAAAAATAATGGGACCTCTGCTTTGTAAGGGAAGCTGATACAGTCAATGTGTCCAGAACTCAGAACAAGAAGATGCAGTTTGCTCCCTAGCTGCACTGGAACTAAGAGTTGCTTTCATTTTAAACCATGATTCCGTCAGTGTTCATGTTTTAAATCTACTAGTGTTTTTATTTATGTTATTGCTAAAGAACTGTTTAGCTTATCTTTTTGCTTCAAGTACTTAATTAAAGGAAAGTGTGGTCACTCTTCCCATTGTGTGGTGAAGCTGGCAATACATAGAGTTAACTTACAGTTCTGCAGAGCCAAGTTTCTGAGCTACACCCCAAAAGTCTTAGCAGAGTGACACTGCACTTGCCAATAGCAAACACTGGCACATTCTATTCATATGGTTAGACAGACCTCGTAACAGAATCCATGACCTGGCAATTAACACTCCTTTTGTGCTGTGCCCTTCTCAACCTGCATCAAATGCTACATTGACACCAACTAGCACAACAGAGCAGTTCTGAATTTACATGAAGAAAATCCCCATCAACAAGAAATTTTATTTGTGACTAGCTGCACCCCAAATGAAATCAGCCAGTGATAAGGATGGCAGGGCATTTCTGAGTCCACAGGAGTGACTCCTGACCTCAGGACACCAGCAGCCATGAAGGAAGTCAAGAGACCTTCCACATTCATCATCCCTTGATAAGAATCTTTATATCCATAAGAATGGATATAAAGAGAGGCAGTAAATCTAATATGAAACAAAGAAAAAAACCCCCAATCTTTCCATAGAATTTGGTGTCCCTGCACCAAACAACCATTTTCCTCTAGTGATGTCCCTACCATTCCCAGTTTTCAAGGAAAACTACTTTATGGTTCAGCACTTTTCTACCACTGTTACCATTTCTATCCTGGCATCATAAGCCATATTCTATGTATTTTGTTACTAAAACTCAAAAGTGAGAGCAAAACACCTGTGGATCAGGAGAATGAGTCCACTACTGCCTTTGAAACATTGAGCATGCCTCAAAGTGTTTTCTTTTTATTTTTGACAGAGGATTTGGCTCAGACCAACGATCCAGTAAGGACCAGATATCCTGACTCACTCTCACCAAGCTGGCTGGATAACCTCACAGTCAAGACACATGAGGAACCAGTTCACCAAGTTCCAGTGCTGAGATACTCTGCAGAACAACTTAAGAATCCCCTCCAGATTTTGGCACAGCACAGCAGTGTTACTGCAAACATCTCTACCCGTCTGAAAACCAGCACATTTTCTTCATGACAATCAGATGGCTTCCTCCACACAAATGCAAAGCACTTGCTGTTCTCTCTTGAAATTACAACCAACATTCCCAGGCACCTTTCTTTGAAAATACTTCTTTAAAATCACAATGTTCACACAAACACCCCATTTTTGCCCCATTTTTGATTTCAAGAAAAGGGAAATCCCACAGACAAAATATTTCATTGCATCTTTTTCATGTAGTTTTTCTAATGCTCAGTCTTGAGTGCAGGGCTCTGCCTTTGGCAGAGAGAGCTCATCTGAGAAGAGAGTACAATGAGATCATAATGGAAGTGCTACTGTTCTGGGAGAAAGGTAGTAAAAACCTCCAATTACTGTAAAAAAAGAAAATATTTTCTCCTAGTTCATGTTTTGATAGAGATATTTAAGCCACTTGAAAATAAATAATGCATGAGACACTTCCTAAGTGGTCACTGGACTTGAAGTTGATATAAATAAGTTGCAAAGGTAACTTGCATGCAATGGAACCTGTTCAATATATATGTTCAGACAACCACAGAGGTTGACTTTACTCATAAAACTCTTGGTTTACAACTAGATTACATGATTGTGGCCTTAAGGTTCAACAGGACAATCATTTCCACTTGCAAACCTATCATGAGCTAATGAAGTTACCACAAATCACATATACAAAACAAAAAAAGGAAGAACTTCACAGCTTGCAGACTTTAGCTAAGTTATATGGAAAAAGATTAGCTTAATTCATAATTCCATAATATACAGGTTGCTTGTGTACTCCTGTATTTTCAGCAGTGGGACAGCCAAACTGTTACTTTAGTCACCTTTTGTAAAATAAAGAACTACAAATAAGCCCTCACAAGTTTGAAGAAGTTTTATATTAATCATGCTCTTCCAGCTGCAGTCCTGCCCATGGAGGAAAGACCTAGAGACAGCTGAAACAGTGTCATCAGACTAAATACACCAGTAGAGTAAGAAAAAATTACGGACATTTTAAAAATATGGAAACTGAAAGATTTTGTGGGACAAACAAACTACAAATTCACTTTGTAAGCAAGTGTAGTAAAATGGGTTGTACTGTGACTTCCTCAAGGTGATCTAAGACTGCCTGCGGCAATGCCTGAGACAATAAGACGGACATACTGATTATAAGCTTTACCAGATAGATCAGGCTCCCTTTCTCCCTCAGAAAAGAAAGTGTTCTTTAAGTTACTTTAGTAAGCCTCCAGTTGATTTTTCATTTTCGTCAGGCTAATACGAATGTCCTGATTACCATCAGCAACAAGAGAAGGCACAATAAAGTTTACTTGTCCTAACCTGCAGCTATGCATGTAAGTACCTCCCTTTACTTAAGCAGCATTATTCTGTCTGGCCTTTCTGCTCTTACAGGCAAAACTTGGAATTAAACCTACAGTCTCCTCTTGGATGAAATCAATAATTCGATAACTGAAATATTAGTTTCATTTTGATGGCAAAAAAAAAGAAAATGGCTACTTACAGAACATGCAGAATACAGTTCTCATAAAGAGAACAGTCAAAATTAGTCACCTTTAAAAATTTCCCCCATCAGAAATAAAATTGGGTTATGATTTTATTTTTTCTTTTTTTAAGTAAAAAACTCTTGTCTTTAAATATCAAGATAGCAATACCACAAATGATTTTGAAAATCTGCATTACGCTTATCTTAAAAGCAGCTGCTTAGACAAAATACATCTGTTTAATGAGTTAACGTGTTTCCCTTTCAGATTCTTCTGAAAGCCATATGAACTAACTGTGAATCAGATCTGTATCTTGATATTAAAAGAGAAATCACATTCCACTTCCCAACGGAACACAGCAGCAAACGTGCCTGTTACTGTCTATAATGACTACATTATGTTTTCCGCTTAATAAAAGACATACAACCTCGCAGAGAGAATAGCAAAATCACTTCCATCTTACTTTTCAGAAATTGCAGAATAAAACTCAGAACAATAAAAATCCCTTTCCCCACTCACATGGTTTACTCACCATCACTTTATTCCAAAACTCAGTTTCACTTGAAAAATGATCCATAACAATGAAATGATTTCTTCCTTGTCAAAAGTATCACTCCAATCATTTAAATTACTGAACGCAGAAAAGGAAACATTGTGCTCCACAGAGCACTCTAAGCACACACTGTTGTTTTTGCTGATGCAATGAGGCTTCTAAGCAAACGAGCAAGTTTGCAAGCAAGCTGGGTAGTGGCATTTTCCTTATGATTCAAAAGTGAAGTATGCCTCAGCTAACTGAATGCTCACACAGCATATAATAAAGGAACTCAGGGATTCATACACGTCTCTAACACAATCATTTGTAAAACTTCTACTCGTATTACCATCTCCAAGTCTGCCACACCTCAAAAACAACGAGCCAGATACAGACTTCTACTGGGTGCTACGTGCAGCCAAAAGAAAGACAGCTTCAAGCCAGAGGCTTGTATTTAAAAGCCTCTGAAGTTTAAGTCTCTAAGGTGTATAAAGTTACATTCCGTGTATGGAATGTAACTGTGGGATTCCTCCTTGCTGCATATATAAATATGATAAAGTTCATCATAAGCTACACATTAAAAACAGAGTCTGCCACTATGCACTACCAGATTAATGCACAAAATTACTGTGATTGGAAGAATCACAAAAGAATTACAAAAATGTATTTAAATAGGTATGTAATTACAACTTTTAACACTCCTCCCTTAAGTGCCACGAAAAGCATAGAAGAATTTGCAAGGTAATTTTCTAAGAAATGGAGATAACAAGATCCAAGGAAAATCTAAAAGCTGTGCCTTCTTTTCCATAGAGATGCAGACCTGTCTGAGCCCTGAGAGGCAGAGTTTAGAAACAAACCTCTGCCAAAAGATGAAGAGGGGAGAAATCCATAACAACCTAATCACCGTCTGATAGGTGGAAGCCTCCAGTGCAATATGTGTCATTTATTTCATCAATCTTTAAAGCTTATGTCAGCTGCCTTGACAGGTAAACCTTGTGAAGGTTCAAAATCTTTCAGGTTCCAGACATCAACAAATAAATGCTGATGCAGACCTTTACATGACCATTGTGCCCTCATCGGATTCACTGAATAACCTTTTTTCCTTTGCCAGCTTTTACTTTTTCTGACACACCGAGGTCTGAGGTAGTATCCTCTCTACACCACTTGACGTTTCCTAACGAGCTGGGAGCACTGCACGTGCTGCAGCCCTTACTCACTTGGAAACTGCATCGAGATGAATGTTCTCCACAGCTACAAGTTTGAACAGTTAAAAGCTTGTGTTTTCTTCCAAGCTTCTATCTTTAATATCTTCCTCTGATGCCCTTGCTGTGCTTGCAGGTTCTTCTCACAACTCTGAGAAGCAGGCAGGCAAAAACTAGCTAAGGACATGGATTAAAGCAGGCAGTGGCTCTTAGGGGAGCCCCAGCACCCTCTGCTGGGGCTGGAGCAGTGGGAGGTAGCTGGGCCAGCCTGTGGCACTTCATCCTCATGGCTGGCGTGACTCCTTAACACCTGGGGCATGAAACTCCTACCTGGTGGCTTTCACTGGGTGAGAGAGCAGTAGTGCTACGGGCCTGTTTAATTAAAAACATAAGAAAAATCTTCTCCTTTCTTACAGCCTAGGAAATTCTACATAACACCTAATAATATAACTATAAAACAGCATAATATCTATGCTACTATAATCTAAACTAGTTACACACTCTCAGGCAGCATTTAATTAGAGCACTGGGCCAAAATGTAAAGCAGAATAGAAATGCTGTGTTTACATCCAATAAAGTTTCCCAGGCTAGTGAAACATCCATACTGGACTTTGACTGCACACTTCGGCCTGGAATATACTTTGGCTGTTTAACGTACTGATGAAATTTACAATCCAGCTACCTGATTTCAGATATCCTGATCTGGGCCATTCTCAAACAATGTGGAATAAATTTAGATGCACCTTTAGTCAGCACTTTTCCTCCCAGTTAATAGTTTCCGTGTTCTACTTATACAAACAAAATTAAACAAAACAGGATACTGATCATCCTGTATCTGTCCAGAAATAAATAACTTCAAAGGATGCAATTCAGCAATCAAGCTATTATAAGTGCTTTTCAAGCTCTTTGACTTGCAAAAATTAGCCAACTGTTTGTTATTGGTTTGTACATTTTTCTTGCTTTATTCTCTGAATCCTGCAACTTGGCAAATTAATATAACTCTGGCATTTTGTGGAACACAGACCTCTTTGTCCTTTTGCAAAAGATCCTTAACCCTCTGGGCTTTCCAGTTACGAACAGAATGTCTCCAATATCTTATCTGTTGCTTTGAACCATGTTCATTGAACCCAGTGAGTTGGAAATATGTCTCCACTATAAGCGCTAAGGAATTTTTGTAGATCCATTACATTACCATAATAGCGTTACTTTATTTTACTTAAGTCATTTTGTTTTGGGAAGCATTTAAGACCATGTTATGAAATTTAATTTAGATTGAAAATTACTTCATCTTAGATTAGGTATTTAAAAAACTAGGAAACAATTTCCACAGTTAGAAATATTGTTGTGAAAAGCTGTGATGTAAATGCTAAGTGACTGAGTTCTTAGTTTTGAAGTGACGTTTGGAGGAGAGCATGGAAAAGGAGAGCAAAGGGTGAGTGATGGCAGCTTGTGCACTGCAGGATCCTGTAAGCTGGCACTTGGGATAGGTAGAGCAAGGAAAACCACAGAAGTGACATGGTGTGTGGTAGAAACCATCTTTTAAATGTATTTCTTTTCTTTTTTTTTTTAATCTCTTGATTCTCATGCTACACAGCATAAAATCTTTCATCAAGATCATAATAAACATCTGTCAGAGATCTTTCTCTGCTGCCTTAACAGAAGGCCAAATAATTCAGAGATCAGTTGAAGTTCAATTACATTTTTCTGCAGTAAGCCAGAGAAAGGTGCAAAGTAAATCACCTTTATGTACCCTTCCTGAAGTTCTTTTATATTGATCCCCCCCAGAAAACGTGGTTTGAACAATTTTAAATGTTCATCATCTAGTATATTCTGTTTTTTCATGCCCTATTTCTGAAGCAGAGATTGTTTCTGCAGTCACATACGCCTTGTGTGGAAGTGGAGCAGCTCACCCCAGTGAGGGGCCCTCTTTACCCACTGCTGTCACACTTCAGAATTGCCTTATCTTGTGGGTGATTAAGACAGTTCACTGTAATACTACTGTTCTCAGTACAACATGCACACATTTCTCTATCCCAAAATTTAAATCATGTTATTCCCCAGAATCATCACTCCAGTCTGATGAGCAGAAGAAGATTTCACATCTGATTTATTTCAGGAGGTCTGGGTTTTGCAACACAAAATAAAGTTGCAGATGGACTTTTATTGACTGAAGAAGCATTGCACTGGCATAGAAGCCCATCAGTCTGAAAGTTAGAATCTAAAGTGAAATTCTAGCTGCTGAAACAAGTCTATGAATTGGTTAAAATGACAGTTAATAATTTTGGAGTTCACTAACACCAAATTATGTGCTCCTTTAAGGCAAACAGCTATCTTACAGCTAACTTGCAGAAACGTTCTATGTCCCCTGCAGCTCTTTGAAGGAAAACTCTGAACACCAACAAAACTACTTTTAACTGCCCCACAGATATTAACAAAATGGAGATTATCACTGTAGAAAGTATCCTGTCTGCTATTTTTACACCACCATGGCTCTGAATTGGCTCACTCAAAAAGCACTATAATTATGAATTGAATACTGAATGCTGATTAAAATTTAAACCCACCTATCCTGGGCACAGGCAGATCCTCTTGTGACAAGGCAGCATCTAACACCATCACGATAAAGAGCTGGGCCAGAGCACTGCCATGTATGTGTGACCTGCCAGTGTCCTGCTTCCTAACTGCAACTGCCTGTTTTGCATCTGACTGCTGATCACACCCCCTCGAACAGGGCTTGAGGTAGTTACTCCAGGATGTGCCATCAGTACACCGATGTTCTTTATCTTAATGCTTTATGCCCAAATCAGTGCTGTCAGGTCAAAGCCTTACCAGCAGCAATGCAGGGTGCATCTCGTTATGGGACGTGCAGAGGAATGTTAGGCACATTGTGGCCCTCACTTCACTCTGGTTTGTAAGAAATGCCACTTCACAGAAGAGATTACAGATTTGGAAATTATATCAAGTGGCTGAACTCTTCCAATATACACTTTAGAGGAACTATAATACAAATACAGGCTATTCCACAATAAGAAGTGAAAGCACAACTGTTAAGATTTATAACCTACAATACTAATTTAATAATCAAGTCCTTATAAAATAACATCTAACACCATGTGACAAAGGGAGCTGACAGTACCTTCCCAATCAGTGCTAAATAATGCACTCATAACAATTGCCTCTCACTTGATTATGGTAATATAGTTGATACTAGACACAATTCAAAGATTATTGAAGTCAATGAGTGCTCTTCATTAATGCCAATGGAATCTGAATCAGACTCATCAAACTAAAATATAAGAGAAGAGCTAAATGTGTAGTATGGGCATAAGAAGAAACAGTGATTCTAACCTTGGATATTAAAAATTATTGTGTTCTCACTATGTACCACTATAGAAGATCCTTGAAAATAATTATTTTCGAATCTTTGTGACAAACGTAAGTGGTTAAACACAACCCTGCTATAGGTCCCTGCTGTTATGTGCACATCACCTCCTGGACACCACAAAATACAACCTGGTCTCAAAATATCAAGTTTTGATCATAAAATTGCACAGTTCTAAACTCTAAGTAAACTCTCAAATACTAGATTCAATTATACAGTTGAGAATTATTACAAGAAATGGCAACAGTTCTAACTAAAAAAAAAAATCAGAGGTGAGGAAATATTTTTTGTATTTATTACAGAAGAGTATACGAGAATACAACAGAAAGGACTCTGGTGATAATAAAGACAAAATGGGATAAAAAGGTCTCCAACATGTCTGATGGCAACTCCAAATGCAAACAATATAGTAAATCAGGACACAGCTGTGCTAAGGGAACCTTACATTTTACCATTTATTCTTGCTTGTTATGCTACAGAGACTTGTAAGGGTCAGAAGAAAATTTGCTTAGGAAAAACTTTATAACCTCTTTACTCAATTTTCTTCAGTTCTTGTTTTCATTAATTTACAACACCATAAGAGCATGGAGTCTCCAGAGGGCTTGGGACACTAATGAGGACGGTAAAATTCATGGCGAGTTTGGGAATTCAAAGCAGAGGTCAACATGTTCACCCTGCAGGAACCCTACACAGGTCTTCAGCATTGACACATAGTAAAACTTTGTCAAGTTCCCAGATACTTCTGCCAAAGTGGAAGAGAAGGGAAGTGCTGTTTTTAGTTTTCTAGCTATTTATGTTGGGGTTTTTTTTCCTTCTCTTCCCTTGCAGGAACAATGATACTTTTTGAAATCAGGATGCTGAAAGGAAGAGCTCCCATTGCTCTTTTCTTTACAGATTCTGTAGCAGAAAACTCTGGTATGAATAAGAATTTGGAGTAGCAGGTAACCTTTTCCTGCTGAAACGAAGCTGGGACCTCAAGGTCAACTCCTGTGTGAGATGTAAGAAACACTTACAAAATACTGCAAGCAGAGGAGCACAAAGTCATTTCCTTGGATCAAATCTATGGTCCTTGGGGCTGTGAGTTAAAGGTAGCAGATGACATTCCTCTCCATCTGCAACCAGACTAAAGCAAGATGTGTATCTGTGCACATATGTCCTGTGCACAGACCATGACACTTGGGCATCAATACAACCAAAGAAAGGGTTTGTTTTGAACAAAGGAGTGCACATGAAATACTCAGTGTTTTTAAAAAATGTGTTTTCAGCTGTTTTCCAAGGAAGTGGCTCAGTATTTCTTCCTTAGCAGAGTTCACCATCTTGGACAGACTAACAACAGCAATTTTAATCTTAGGCAGAGACCAAAACAAACCAAATCAGAATGAAATAAAACTTATTTTGAAAATATTTGATGTTTGCTAGCTGCCTTATTTACATCTGACCTAAGTTTTGTTTACTTAGGTTGCTGACAATATACAGTGTGACGTGTGTTGCAGACCACGTACACAGATCGCTGCCATTTCAG